TGTGGGAAGTGGAGTTCAGCAATCCAGATTTTAAGAAACTCTCTGGGTAAAACAGATGCATGCTAGAGTTTAAGAACCACTGTGCTAGACTTTAAGGTTTTTTGAGCTTAGACCTGTGCTTTAATATCTTTCTGTTCCTTTTAGTTCTCTTGTGGGATTACTCACTTTTTAATAATTAAAAAAAAATAAAGAATGTCAGTGTTCCCCAAAGTGCCTGCATGATCTCTTAGCTTGTCTGTATGTCTTGCATCACCATGAATAATTGGAGATTCATTATTAGACATTCAGGGATTATCTGAAGACCTTACGTTTTATATTCAGTCTTAAACCCATGGCAAAGCAGCACAAGTGCACTTTTATTTAGACTTTTTGTTCTGATAATTACTTTCACTGTAATTATTTACTTACCTTCTACTTGCTGTGGCCTTATCCTCGTGACTGCTTCTGTTTAGCAAGAATTTCTCTTCTTCGGCTATTTATAGAAAGATTTGAGGGTCAATTTTATAGGATTTATTGGATTTTATCACACCATTATTTTGCTTTTGCTTTATTTTTCCTGTTAGTTTTATCTTGTTATGCTGTGATCTCCGACCCTTTATGTCCTTTGTCAACAAGATATTTAAATTAATAAAATAAGAATGTGATCTTTTTCTACTAAGGGCTATTGTTGAAAATAACCATTTAGACACACAAGTACCAGTTTATAGACAAAGTTATATAACAAAGTTTCATATATATATATATATATATATATATATATATAATAAAGTTCTATTTATTCACTATTTGTTCACCTATTGGTAAATATTTAGCTTTAAAAAATGCCATTTAACACATGTCTGATTTATAGCTGATTTATTTTTAAGGCTGGTTTAAGTGGTAATTTGTACTCTTGATTCTGATTTTCCACCACTTTCAGATTTCAAAGCCTCAATACATTCACAGAGTCAATCTCTGCCCCCAGAAGGAGTGAATATTCTGAACCTAGCACCAGAGCAAGGACTGTCTGAATGTATAGACTCTAAGGCATCGCTTCTCAACCTGTGGATTGTGACCCCTTTGGGGGTCGAACGACCCTTTCACGGGGGTCGCCTAAGACCATCGGAAAACAAAAAAATATTTACATTACGATTCATAACAGTAGCACAATTACAGTTACAGAGTAGCAACGAAAATAATTTTATGGTTGGGGGTCACCACAACATGAGGAACTGTATGAAGGGTCGCGGCATTAGGAAGGTTGAGAACTGCTGCTGTAAGGGCTCCCAGGGCAGAAGCACGGGGGAAGCAGGATGGCCTCACCGTCTGGGCGGAGCTCGGAAGCTGCGCGTGAGCATGTGTGGTCCTAAAAATGCCATTTCCTGGACTTTCCGTCAGTCTCTTTGATGTGCGAATAAAGCTATAGGATCATTGCATGAATTGTTGTTGATTGAATAATTAAGCTGCTCTCTAACCTTTCTCGTTGAATGTTTGCTATAAGTAAATGAAAAATCAATTCATTAACAAATATTCAGACTTTTAAGATGTTACACCATATACTTTCATAATACAGTTTAATTTTTTAATGACTATAAACCAATCACAGTTCTTGTTTGTGGCTCACATCTTGTTCAGTGGATGGGGAAAAAAAAGAATTCTTAACTGTTTAAGTCACAGCCTAAAACCTGAAATTGATCAAAATTTCCAAGGTATTTTTTTCATGGAGTTACTTGGCTCTTGGCAAACACTCTAGTTCCAGTTCTAGAAACTGCCCATGTGACATTTTTCATCTGTCTGTGGAAGAGTTCATGTGGTCCTCTAGCTGAACTTCTTAATTAGCTTCTCAAAGAAAAAACAACAACAAAAAAGCCCTCACGGTATTTTGGAAGTGTATGTTTGTTTACTTTTCTTTTAAATTATTTAATCTATGTGTACAGATATCTTTGTAGACCTACCTATATGTAACAAGAGTGTTAACTAAAGGGGGTTCCAGATACCTTAAGACATTTAAAAATTATTTTGACAAAGTTTACTAGTTCAGTGATTTCCCAATATAGTCAGAGAGGAAGTTGGTTTGTTTGAGAAGATTTGTGACCTCTCTCCTTTCCCATATAGCCATTGTTGGTGGTTTAAAGACGGGGAGAGCCATTTTTCACCACATTCTCAGGGCTGTAGCCTTTGTCTTGTGTGTCATGAGGGTATCGAGTGAAAAAATCAAAAGTAACCTAGTAGCCCTAGAAGTGTAGGGAGAGAAGTTTGTATTTTAATTAGGTAAGGGTTATAATAATATTAGGAGGTTCGTGCACAGACAGTTATGCAGAGACAATAAGCTCATTGATTGGGAGGTAAGTTTAGAGAGACAATCACTTTTCTCATACCACCATTGTGAATGGGATTTTGATGGTGAGGGGTGGGGGGTGGGGGGTGCTAGCTTTTAACCTCCTGAATCCCTACGGATGCAATGGTTTATTAAAGAAAGGAGAGGAACCTGGGACTCCAAGGCACATTTGAGTTTCAGAAGCCATTACTGTAGATTTCCCAATGCCCTTTGTAAGGGCTTTGATGACAGTGACAAGAGGAAGCGGGGACAAGCATGTTAAAGTCATTTGGCTACTTTTGAAATCAGGGCTGGGAAGAAAACATTTTCTGGCTGTAAATCACTTGTACTACATTCTTTAAAGGATTTTATACAAATGACTTTAACAGTTTTAGGGGTCGTGCCTAGGGTTAAGAGACTGTTTGCCTGGTGTACATTTTGGTGATTTAAAAGTATTTCTTCACTGAGGTGGTAGCATTGCTGTTCACATCTGTACTGTGAACTATTTGATATTTATCTGGAAGGTTTAACTCTTAAGGCAATATCGCACAAAGTTGATTTTATACTTGTTGGTTTTATGTGTTACAAAAGCTATTAAAATAAATCAATACTTAAAATGTAAACAAAAACCCCAAAAATCTATAAACAAAGTTTTTATAAACATTGTAAAGATTGCTAACATTCTGATGAGTGATTGTTGTGCTTTGCAGTATCCGTAAGCACTTTTGCCTATATTATGGAATTTAATCTTTAAACCCAACCCTGTGAGGCAAGACTTGTTATTCTCATTTATAACTATTGAGAAGTGAGGCTCAGAAGGGCTAAGTGAATTGTCCAGGGTCACTCACACAAGCAGTGTGACTAGTGAGCTGGGAATGAAACCAGGCAGAAGACCCTTGGATTTCGCAGACAGCACTCAAGCTAAGACCGAAATAGTTGTCTATTTTTTTAAGTGAGGCAATTCAAATAAAAATATTTAGTAAATACCTAAATGACTTGATGGCTATGGCAAAAATGCTGAAGCTATTGAGAAAGATGGATTTGGAAAGTGCCTTTAGTGATTAGTGGATGTATTAGTTTAAATTGTAACTTAAAGATAGACTGGGCTCATGCAGTTACCCATTCTTTTGACATTGTCTTTGCTTCAAGTAATCACCAGTGTGTTAGTCTGTGAGAGACCACTGTGGTTTTGTATGAGTTTAGAGATTATCAGGTATTTTAGTGCTTTGGTATATTGTCCATGACGTTGCGGTGTGAACTCTGCTCAAATGGCATGTTACATGGATACTAGCATCTTTTCTGCCCTGCTCCTATGTTTTTTATCCTGTACTTGTAGACCTCTTAATGGGGACCCAAGCATCCTGGTCTCTGCACAGCCCCCACTGGTCCTCTCCTGTGAAGTCGTTGTAACACTGGATTGTGCTGTGAGGTGAAAGGTGCATTATGCTTACATGTAAATACAGCATTGGATGGCACGATCTATCTTCTTTTGCCAAGAAACATGTATTTTTCTTGGTTTTTGTTACAGCCCAGCATTTTTCATTGCCGGCAGCACAACACTCATTAGGAGAGAGCAAATAAACAACACAAGTCACTTGGAGCCAGGAAGTCGCATCTCAGACTAGGAACACAGTTTTGGATTGACATTTGAAGGTGGTTTGCTAAATAGGGGAGCCAGCTACCAAACTGAAAGCCAGTGCACTTCTAGGGAAACCATCTAATCACAGGATCTTTGGAAGGGCATCAGAAGTTGATTTTGATGTTATGAGAAATCAGTTTCTTTGTAATTAAATATTAGTTCAGCCTTTCTTAGGTAACCGAGCATTGCCTCCCTGTTCATTGTTTGCCTTAGACATATGATTAACATGCGATGAATTTGAAACTAACCTGTTAATTGAATGCTTTGCTTTGAAACAACAGTGAGTAAATTTGTCATGAGTATTCCTAATAGTGCCTAGTTTTAAAATGTGACCTACTTTATTCCCTGCCTTATAACATAAGAGGCATACCAAATTCAGTTGGCTTGGAGTATTTTATGGTTTCTTCTATTTCAAAATTAATGGCATATTATGCTAACTTACTGAAAATAATAATTTTTGTTTGTTTGTTTTTAGCTGAGCCATCCTGCCACCTGTTGGCAGCTCAGCAGCAGCTCAGCTTGGGCCAGGCATCGAACTGCTGTTGCTCAGAGCTGGCGCTCTTGAATGAGCTCTTAACCAACTGAGCCACTCAGCCGGCCTCTGAAAATAATAATTTGACATCAAAATTATAAAGCCAATTCTACTGGAGCTTTTTGCACCAGAAGAGATGTACTCATTTAAAAATCGATTTGTTTAGTTATTAATAATACTTCCTTTTAAAGGCAAAAACAGATAAACAAACACACTTTTGCCCCACTTTCTTAGACTACTCTTAACTAAGCAGCGTTGCTTTATGGAACTTGCAGCTTTGGGAATCATAAGTATTTATAAAGATGCTCATCATTTTGTCTTCATCTGCCTTGACTTAATCAGCTGGAGAATTAATTTCTTTTCATCCATGATTTCATGTCTGAGACAAGGCACAAAGTGCCAGTTAGTTACTGAAAAGAAAATAACCTGTGATATATTCTCCTTAGTTTTGTTAATATTTTTTAAATACCGATGATTATTTTTCATTATGTGTATTTCTTCAACTGTTAATATCTTACCCTTGCCTCTTTTAGGACCTGCTGAAGTTCCCATGATGTCACCCAATGGATCTATTCCTCCCATCCACGTGCCTCCAGGTTATATCTCACAGGTAAACCACTTGGTAGACTTCTCCACTCTCTATGGCCACTATCATTATCCCAAGAGAATATATGTTGAGGCCTCAACACTTGTCCCCGGATTAATTTAGTTAAGATAATGCTAGCATTGTCATCATTTTTGTGGCACCACATGGCCCTCTCTGAGTCTTGCCTCTAATGTGCCAGGAAGTTAATGAGAGGAAACCACAGCGGGGCTACTAGGCTGCCCTCGGCCAAGGTGGGTTTCACACTTGACCATTTGATTGTGTGATTCCTTCAGAGAGTCTACTGCCTTAGAGATTTCCTTCCATCTGTACCACATTTTGCTGGGGGGGGGGGTCGAGCATGGGAGAATGTAGACTTAATTAGTAAAAATATCAAAGCCCACATTGTTAACATAAATAGGGCCTGCCCTTTGTCATGGGAGTCCCATTTCTCCATAATGTGGCACATCCTAGGCTTCTGAGTTACTGAATATGATGTGAGAACTTAGCTGTTTGTACTTAAATTTCTCTAAAATTTGATTTTCTTTTAAGATAGCAATAGCAATTTAAAAAGTAACAACGGTATCAGAGTTACGTTGGAAGGATAAAAAAATGTTAAAAGATAAAAGTTATACTCCTAAACCTGGATAATGTTTAAAATGTTCAGGTGCCTAGAATGTGAATGTCTGTATACACTTGAGATTTTGTCATCGGCTCAGAACAACATAAGTGCCTCCCTGTTTCTCCCCGCACACCTTCCTTTCCAAATACCTAACAACCAACTGGTTTTCTCTCTCTTTGCCTCTTTTGTTCTTTTTTTTTTCCTCATTGTAAGAACATCCTACACTCATTGGGAAAAAAATCAGAATAGACAGACGAGTCTTAAAAAATATTTATAATTTTCCTACCTACAGAAGATAATCATTGTGTAAATGGCTTTTGGATTATATTCTTCCAGATACTTTTTTTTTATTCCTTCTCTGTCTCTGTATGATTTTATAGTGGTTTAAAATCTGTAATTTTACGTTTTTAATGATTTTGCGAGGGTGAAAAAAAATTGGCAGCTACAAAGGAAAATTGCTGAAGTGCAGGCAGGAACCAAAGAAGCCTTCTCCATCTCTGATATAAAATCTTATCCATTTGTTGAGCCATAGCGCAGCCACTATCATTTCATTTTTTCTATCCTTCCTTTCACATGAGCCAATTTGGCATCTTTATTTGTTTTGTTTTGTGTAGCCAGAATGTTGGTCAGTCTTCTCCCTGTTGCAAATAAATGACTTGCTTTACACAATTCTTTGTAAATAACAATCACCGGAGGGAGAGAACGGTGCAGAGAGGCCCGTCCAGCCACGACACGTGTTGATGGATCACATTCACGTTGCCAGTCAATTAACAGAAAAGAACAAGGAATGCAGAATTCCATTATGTCTTCTGCACTTTTATTTTGAGGAAGTGTTTCATTCCATTGAACAGAGTACAGTTCTCACCATTGTGATGGCAGGAATAACACCCCCTTTTATGCTGAAGGTCCATTTAAGGAATACCAGTTAAAGGTTGAACATTTAGTGGAAAGAAGCTGCAGTGTACTTTTTCTTGCCAGTGGGGTTGCTGTGATTGTACTAAGTGCAAAAACATTTGTTGGGAGTCCTAGGGAAAATAGAGAATTTTAGACCATGATTTATTTCTGATCCTGAAAAACTTATATAGGTAGTATAAAAAGAGTAAGAGCAGAGTTGTAAATTCAGTTTCATAAAACTGGTGATGGAAACATAGTAAAAGTCTTTTTCAGCTGAGGATTATGGCAGAAAAGTGCTAGGAGATACTGGAAGAAAAGTAAAAATGGGATAGTTTGGATTCTGAATTCCAAAAGAAAAAGAAGCATTTTGTAAGACATACATTCAACTGTTTACATTGGGTTCCCTGATCAGAAGATGGGCCTAGAGTTAAATGACCTTCACTAGTAGCACTATAACAACATTTGACTGTGAGTGTCTGAGGAAAGCAACTTATTAATATGAAGAAAACTGAGAAACTGATTGGATGCTTGTATATCTTAAGGCTGACTACATACACACTTGAAAGAAATGAGGAGGGTAGACCCAAGTATAAAATGTCTTAGGAGACTTGTCATCACCAAGAGTTCTAAGGAGCAAAATACATTATGCTTATGTAGTTGTAAAAATAAAGAGTCACAAAATAAAAAAAAAAAAATCCCCTTCTGGACACGTGTGAGAAACACCCAATAGTTGTCTGTCCCTGGATGAGTCAAGTGTACATCTTATCCCCACAGTCCTTTCCCTCAAAATGGCTCTCTTGTTTCAGATCTACAGTTGGCTGGACGCTGCATAGAAGCCAAGTTCTATAGTGTATAGTGTATGAGATCCTTAATACCCAACCCTGCTCTCCTTTCGAGGGTCACTGTTACCTGTTGTCCCGCATTGCCACTACCTTAAATGTCTGTCCCCTGGGTACATCTGGCCTTTTCTTGACTACATACTTTTTGTGCCTATTTATTCTCTCTTCTTGGGATACTCTAGAGTCCTTCTTTGACCGTTCAACATTCTTCTCATTCAAATGCCCCTCCTCAGTATGACCCTTTTAGAACCTCCAACACAAAATGGCTGTTCTGGTTTTTTCCAGCATCTTTGGTATGGCTCATCTCTGTTATGAAATGCAACACCTATTATTAACGAACCTTAAGAACTTTTAGTTCCTCATTGGAATTGTATCTGAGAATTATATCAGGTATATAGTAGGTACAGGCATAACTCAATTTGTAGCACTTTATTGTGCACCACAGATGTTTCGTTTTTTTACAAATTAAAGACAAGACTCTCCACCAGCCAAAGATTATAACTCACTTTATTGCAAGACTCTCCCCCTCCCCCAACCTTACTGAGGTGGTCTGAAACAGAACCTGCAGTATATCTGAGGGATACCTGTACTTGATAAGTGTTTTTAAATGTAAGTGATTAGCCAAACTGACATAAAGTAAATACAGGAGATGTTCATAGATTTTCAGGTTCAAGTAGAGTAATAAAACACCTGGTCGCTGGAAATTTAGCAAGATCGATGTGACATAGCTGCAAGGAATGAAATGCTCTGCATGTGGATTTAAGAGAGAGAGGCACGCCAAGACAATTCGGTAGAGGAAAGAATAGTCTCTTCAACAAATAGCACAGGGACAATTGGATATCTAAATGCAAAACAATGAAGTTGGACCTCTACCTCACATCATATGAAAAAAATGTACTCAAAATGGATTACAGACATAAGTGTAAGCACTAAAACTATATAACTCTAGGAGTAAAATTTTGTAACCTTGGATTAAGCAATAGATTCTTAGATATGACACCAAAAGCACAAGCAGCAAAAGTATAAAAATAGATAAACTCGACTTTATCCAAATTAAAACTTTTTGTGCATCAGAGAATACCATCAACAAAATGGAAAGGGAACTCACAGAATAGGAGAAAATATATGCAAGTCATTTTTCTTGGAAGGGACTTTCAGCTAGAATATATGAAAGAGAAATCCTACAACTCAATAATAAAAAGACAATCCTAAATTTAAAAATGGGCAAAGGATCAGAATAGACATTTCTCCATAGAAGACATACAGATGGCCAGTTGGCATGTGAAAAGATGCTGGATGTCATTAACCATCCAGGTCATGTAAATCAAAACCACAATGCACTATACTTCACACACACTAGGATGGCTACAGTAAATGAGATAGATAATAACAAGTGTTGACAAGGATGTAGAAAAATTGGAACCCTCATACACTGCGTTTGGTAATGTAAAATTGTACAGCTGCTTTGGAAAACCATGTGGCATTTCCTCAAATGGTTAAATATAAAGTTACCATGTGACTCAGCAGTTTTATTTCTATGTATATACATTCAAAAGGAAACAAAACATATGACCTCACAAAAACTTGTACATGGATGTTCAAAGCAGCATTTTCATAATAGCCCCAAAGTGGAGACGACCTAAATGTCCATCAGTTTACGAGATAAACATGACGTGGTAATCCATACATTGAAATATTTTTCAGCCATAAGAAGACCTGAAGTGCTGATATATGCTAAAATGTGGATGAACCTTGAAAATGTTATGCTAAGTGAAAGAAGTCAAGACACAAAAGCCACACACAGTATCATTCTGTTTATATGAAATACCCAGAATAGGCAAATTCATAGAAACTGAATATAAATTAGTTGTTGCCAAGGGCTAGGTGAGAGAGTATTGGGGAGTATGGAGAGTATGGGGAAGCCAATGGGTATAGTGTTTATTTTGGGGTGATAGAAAATGTTTTGGAATTAAATCATGGTGAAGATCACTCAACTCGGTGAATATACTAAAAATCACTGGATTGGGCACTTTAAAAGGATGGATTTTACGGTGTGTAAATTGTATCTGTTATGTAAGTAAACCTGTTACAGAAGAGGAGGGAAGGGGAAGATAGTGATTAGCCCTAATTATTACTCAGCAGACAGCTGGGAAAATGGCCCAGATTATCGGGCTGCAGGTGGTGGTGATGGTAATAACGACTGTGTGTTGTGTGCTACATGCTTTATTTAGGTCTCTAGTTTTCATCCTCCTAATTTTACATATGAGAAAGCTGAGGCTCAAAGTTTAAACAGGATCGCAGCCCAGGCCTTTCTGAATTTACTGACCTGTTCCCCACTATAATGTGATCTTGACGTCAGCATCAGAGGCTGCCTTGCTGGATGTATTATATTGGCTTTATATTACATCACTTTCTGACAATGTGAGTGTGGATGTGTGGAGTGCCTACTGGTTCATCTCTAGTCTTAAAACACCAGCTTCTCCTGTATGAGATGGTCCATTATTGTAAGAAAATTGAAGAGGGAGGCAAGTGAAGGATTGACAGTGTTACATTAGTAACTCTAAAAACTGAGTCAATGGAGAAATTCTTGATTATAGCAGATTCATTACATAATTAAGTAGTTGAAAGTGCTTTAAAGACCAATTGGTAAAATTGGTCAAGTGAATTTGACA